CGTTGGACACATTGTCAAGGGTCTTGCCCTTGGCGCCTCCACCGTCATGATGGGTGGTCTCTTGGCTGGTACCACTGAGTCTCCCGGAACTTCCTTCGTCTCCCGTGAGGGAAAGCTGGTCAAGGCCTACCGTGGTATGGGTAGCATTGACGCCATGCAGGACAAGAAGGCTGGCGGTGGCGGCAAGGACAGCCAGAAGAGCAACGCTGGTACCGCCCGCTACTTCTCCGAGGGTGACAGCGTCCTCGTTGCTCAGGGCGTTTCTGGTGCCGTGGCCCACCGAGGGTACGTTGACCCCTACGCTCTAATCAGTTTTTGTTTTGCTAACTTTGACATCCCCACAGATCTATCACCAAATTCGTTCCTTACCTTGCCGCTGGTCTCAAGCACTCCATGCAGGACTGCGGCATGACTAGCCTGACGGAGCTTCACAAGAGCGCCGAGGAGGGTATCCTTCGCTTCGAGATCCGTACTGCCAGCGCCCAGTTGGAGGGCAACGTCAACATGGAGTCTTACGAGAAGAAGCTTTACGCATAATGATTTCTGAGGGAAGCAAAAAAGTCGGTATTTGCGATTTGATTTCAATATATTAACGAGTCGGGATGAGAGCATGAACAGGGGCAAGATCTAACGGAGTATAAATTAAAAAGTTAGCCGGGACTGAAAATTGACTTGTTCAGGAGTTTTTTGGGTATATCGTGATCCCCGCAAGAGATAGAGGGAGATCACCGGGGTGTCTGGGTTTTATTAGTCGTTAGAAGTTCTTAAGCCTAAAGCAATGGAAGAGCGCCTCACGGCGTCATGCTGCCGCACTTTTGCGGGGTCTATGCGGTCAAATGAATCTCTGCCAAAATTTCTGATGAATCTGTTCAATAATTGAAGCTGAAGAACAACATGGAGCATGCACACCACCAACTGCTGTCGTCATTATGCCCACAAGGCTGGCTAGTTGCAGGATTAGATCTAGCTAGCTGCATGAGCTCGACAGTACGCATGTAGATCGCTTGAGACACGTCTCAGCCAAGAAAGCCAAAGTGAACTCCCTATGTCATATTCAAGGGTCCATCCAGCGGAAGGATTACAGCCTGATTCATCGCTAATCATGCGCATCTCGAATGGTGTCCCTTCGAGGTTCGACCAGTGCTGGAGCGATCGGGTTTGAGAGGTCAAAGACAAAGATTGATTATCATTTTGCCAAAGCTCGTGGTCAAATCCAAATCATAAAAACTACCTACTCTCGAATCAGCTCCCATAAATTCAGAACAGAAGATCAGTTTCATAAATACATTCAATTCTGTTAGAATTAACTACTAAATTTCTCGGAAGCTGTAATGTATCCATCTTATTTTCCATCTCTTTTCATGGAACAAAATTGGTATCTGGCTTAGAATAACATTTGTAAATCAAAACTGCGATTAAGCAGAAATGGTGCCGCTGAAAATGCAGAAATCCCGGCATGAGATTCTAGTCGTGCAGTTCGTCACATGCCCACTTCCCCATTCTTGTCTGGGGGTTACACCAACTTGCCAGGCGTCGACCTCCCCAGGCGGTATGTCGCTTTTTAATCATATGAGTGATAAGAGCCACATGGTATTATTAGTTTGAATGGCTTGAGTTTCATTCAGGCATAATCATGGCGTTAGGCTGGGGCTTGTAGCCCGTCTTGTCGACATTCTCCGCTCCCTTCTCGTTGCGATGGGCAATCTCGGAGTCGTGCTGCTGAAGGGCACAGCAGGAGCAGAAGTATGAGGTGGCGCAGTCCTTTCCATTGCTTCCCTCAATACCGTACTTTTCACGGATATGGAGGCGGGTGTGGTAAATTTGGCTACAAAGGAGAAAGGTTAGTGGAGGTCTATTACTTCTAAATCCCAAGTATACGCGACATACTGGCAGCCGATGCACGGGGCGATCCAAAAGGACTTGTTGAAGCAACTTTTACATTCTTCATTTTTGCCGTCGTAGTTGTGAAGCTCCGGATTGCGAAGACGCTCATGGGCACGTCCATATACTTTAATTGGATGATAAATGTCAGCGATGAGTGTCAGCTTGGGGTTGCGATGGCTTCTGACATACAGTATGGGGCCTTGCAGCAGGTCTCCACGGGGTTGCACGAGGCAAAGAGAGAAAATGTCCAGCCAGATGCCATTGTAGAGAGTGATGGTGTATATTTTTATGAGATGTTTGGTACTTGGAAAGAACGAAGAGGAAATTACAAGCAGAAAATATTGCTTGGATCTTTGGAAGACTTGCTGTAGAGGAAGTACAGAACTAGAAAGGGAAGCATGTGAAAGAAGACAGCGGGAGAGGCTCTATTAATATTGCATGTCTCAGACAAAAGAAACTCTTAAAATATGCCTAGCCACTACTTGGTGCCATCCCTATGCCCAGAGATGGCAGAACTCTCCAGGATCTACAGAGCGACACTGGTTAAGCCAGGGTCAAGCCCAACGTTGCGTCAATGCTCGAGATCTTTAAGGCAGGGCGCCGGTCAATACCACCCGTTTTAGGCAAGTATGCAAACATTATCCACTAAATAGTCTGCCGGGGCGGGCGATACCCTCGACTGGTTTGTTAAATGGGATAGCGATGCTGCAGCCACATGGCCTCCATTGGCCAGTCAGCAACCCTTTCGTCACCTGGATTTGGTTCCCTCCAAGCACTCATTCCGACGCAATGAGGCTGGGTAAATGGGGTGGACCGACTGTATGATGGATGCTCACGTCAAGCCCCGCTGGGTTTTCTTGGAATACCCTGACTAATCATGATCCTCCTACAACTCTCATTGAAAGTATCGCTTCATGGAAATGCTATGCTGTCACACATGAATCTATGCAAAATGCATTGCCAGCCTTGCTCTTCAACTCGAGCAGCGGCTTACACGTCCCGCCTCCGTTCCTTATCCTTATCTTTTGTTCGGTGGCTCAGGATGACATAATCTGACGTCACCACCTTTCCTCCTCTTAGCTTTCTGTCTCTTGGCGAAGACTCGTCCAGGTCAAAGCCCATCTTCCCATAGAAGCGTCTTGCACGCTCATTGCTAACAAAGCAGGTGAGCATCACCTTCTCGACGCTAGGGATATTATCGGCAATCACCCGCGCATATTCCATCAGCAGCCTTCCGAGGCGGGTCCTGTTAGGTCATAAGTCAGTGTGTGTGCCAGGGGTATGAGGCTTGGGAACCGTCCAATCGATTCCCGGGGATTCAGCCCTGAAAAACGATGTTTTTAATATTTCCCCATTGGGACTTTGGTCCTGCCACTCACCCTTGAAGCTCTGTTTCCAGGTGCACCTCATACACATACACCACTCGCTCGGCATTCTCGACCGTTGGCATGATGGACATGAACCCTCTGATCCCGGTTTCATCGTCTCCTTCCCCGGGGTCGGCTTGGATGAGAATGTACCGCAGACCCGGTGACCGCATCTCTTTCCTTTTTGCCGCGGGGTGCCATCCGGAGGACGAGTTGCGATAGTCCTCTCCACTCGTCTTCTCAATCAGATTGTAGCATCTTTCTAACTCGGCTTCAGTGAGACGCGCCACGCCACGTAGGTTCAGCGTGTGTTTCTTTCCCGAAGTGGGATGAGTCCATTGGGTCCAGTTCTCGCTAGGTGTGGAAGAGGGAGCACTTTAGCCCACGCCGAAACAGTCCGTAAGAGGATGGCAGCTCTTTAACTCACCTTGGACGCATATACTCTTCAACGAACTCAGCATCTGTCTTCTCATCGGCAATCTCAAGATGGTTAACCTTGGGCGTTGACCTCGTTTTCCTCGGACCGCGCTGAGACGTAGATCCCGCGCCAGACATGACGGTAACCTTTTACTAAGACAGATATTTGATAGCTCGATAGCTTCCAGTCGAAAATGTGTAATTTGAAAGTTCTCAAGTTGTTTCTCCCAATGACGCCTACTGAAGCCCGGCTTATAAGCACGCGTTGAACAACGTTAAACGTGCCACGACAGAAAATCAATTCCCCCATACCCGAGGTTTGTCCGTAGCCTCCAAAGCGCCCTGCCCTCTGAGAATTTCACGATCTCGAATGTTCCCTAGCACCAACTCACGCATACATTTGATTTGTTTTCAAACTTGATGAGGTGACCTAGATGCTCACGGGAGCCCGATTGCTGTTTCGCAGCCGCGGCTTCGCCACCGCGACGCGGCGAACCTCGAAGCGGCTCGATGGCGCACTGAGCCTGGAAAATGTTCGTCCACCCATGACAAGGCTCTGCACACATATATTGCCCCCACCACGATATCCGCTCCGGCCGAGTGGCCTCAACTTGGGGGTGCTCTTTACTATACGAAATACTGATTGCCTCGTCTGTACAGTTCCTTCAACGATCGCGGACCCTTGCCTTCTACAGAACGATTCTACGCGGGATCAAGCGGATACAAGACCCGACCACCAAGGCCGAATCCAAGAAGTACGCTCGCGACGAGTTCGAGCGCCACCGTAACGTCACCGACCTTGTACGATTCTCCTTCCTCCCTCTACCCTCCCCAACAACAGCATTCGACCTATATATTATCTGGCAACCCTGGTGATCCTTCAGCTAATACCCAGGCGACAGTCCCACATCAGATACCTATTATCAACCGGCAAGACCGAGTGGGAGACAATGGAGCGTTATATAGACCACATGTAAAAAAAAAATCTGCGAGAAGAAAGCAATCTTCATCATATTTGAGTTTGGGTTTGTAGATAATACAGTGAAGGTGGGATGGAACCCGATCCCCCTCAGGTCTCCCATATACAGCCGTCTAAAATGCGTCCGTTGGTCGAATATTCCCTGCCGACATCTCACACAGCAAAACAGGGCGGAAAGGTTTTCCCAAACCCGTACTCCTATTGGTGCCCAGGTGTATTCTGTCTCGAAGGTGTGGAAGCTTGGTCGTCCCGCGTAAAAAAAGTCGAGGTCGTATCGTACAGTGCTCTTTATTTCCTCCCTCTCTCGCCCCAGTCCCAAACTTCGTGTTTCGCTTGATCATATTTCGTCCCCTCTATCCCTGCCTTTGCTTGTGTCTCGGGTTCGACTTGCAAATAATGTAAAGGTAGCCATTATGTCGCTTGCCGCCTTTCCTCCTCACGACCTGGCCCCCAAACAGTCAGCCATTGAAGCCCCAAACTCGCCGCCCGGCTAGCCTAAGAAGGTCCTCCCTTACCTTGCAGTGCTCGCATCTCTTCTTCACGGCGCTGCGCACCTTCATCCCCCTCGTCTGCTGCGCCTGCTGGAGCAAGCCCATGCCGAACGCCGGGATCGAGGGCATGTTGATTGCCAGGCCGCGGCCCAGGAATGACCCAATTGCCCGCGGGGGGGCGAAGAGCGCCGTCCTCAGTGAGACGGATCGTAATAAGGACGCCATTTTTGTGCCTTTTTGTGAGTGTCTGGGCGGGCCGCTGTTGTGATAGCTGCTGCTGCGTAGCATGATCTTGGAACCTTGAACTTTTCCCGAAATCCCCAACACGTGACTGGCCCGTCGGGTCCTTAGTGGGCCGATGCTAACCTACACCACTCCCGCTTGCATGCCTACATCAACACCATGACTGAGCTTGTTGGCAATGCACTTTGCATGTCTCCGTTATTTACTTTGCAGGATTTTTTATTCTCGGCCTCTCAGCCCTATGAGCTATTACCACTGTATTCTTCATAGACTTGCCCGAATTAGAATGCCAAACTTTTGGATGGATGTAATCTCATGCAAGGTTCAAATCCACTGCTTTTCTCGAAACACACTTTGGTCTCTCTTGTCCTTATGTGAAGAGACCTCCCTTCAACCCCCCCAAAACAAAATCGAGTCTTGCAAACTTTGCTGCCATTTCCGTCAAATTCATAACCTCCCAATCTTCAACGACAATGCCATGATACTACCCCCACGGTCCTCTACCACTGTCCGCAATAACGTTCACTTATCCCTCATCCTTCATAGTGTGCTTTAGTCCGGCTCATATCCCGTCCATTTCTACCAGAATCCAGGTAGAGAAGTTAGTTTGAGTCCCTTGGGTGCCCCCGGGGCCCAACGCTTCTCCACATGGCCGACATGCGCGTCCATGACGGTCTTGAAATCATGACTCTGACGCTCATAGGTACGGAGTCTCGCTTTCTGCATCTCATCTACATGGTCTGGAGTATGGCTCGGGGCAAATGAAGTCAGGAACTTATCCCCCCTGCCTGGTTTCTTCTTGGCACACAACAGCCGAACGACTCGACAGAAGAGGTCAGTCTGCTCACACTCAAACATGAACTTGCGCCATATGAGCTCCGAGTCTCCGGAAAGGTCACCCAGCTTCTCTAGAGACGGTAGGTTCTGGAGAGAATCGAAATGCATCTTGTTTTGCTTGTGATGCAGTTGGGCAGTGTCCCCCGGCTTGGTTATTCTCTCGACCTTCAAATTCAGGATTGCGCTGGCGCCCGCATCAACAGGGGCGTATAGGTTAAAGTCGTAAGCTTCCCAAGCTGTGAAAAGCACCTTCAGGTTGTCCAACTTGACGAGGCGCAAGTGATGCGCTTGCTTATCAAACCATCTCTGAAGGCTACAGCCAGCACAGATTGTATGGTCGGGTCCTGCATTGCGTATGTCTACAGGATAAAACTCCCCTAGAGTTTCGTAGCCGCAGGAAGCGCAAGTGATCAAGGTTTTCCCCATTTCATTGAGGTACCACGACGGCCAATCTTTGTCGAAGGCGTCATCAAGGTGCAGACGAATGGGCTTGAGCAGGTCAAACAGAGCCCTTCTCCTTTCTCTCTGCGCGCTGAAGGAATCGCCCTGGATTTCGACATAACGGTACAACGCATCCAAAAAGCAGGGAACGCCAAAGGGGAGATTTGGCACCTGGAACAAGAAGTCTCTGAAGGGGCCATCCTTATCAAACAATAGCTTCAGGTTCATGGCTCGAGACTTTAGGAATGCCTTGAGAATAATATTGTAGAACCCGCGTTGGACTACCTCAAGTCTCAGAGGATCCCATGTAAGGCCATAGCAGGCGGAATTGGCCTCGTCGAAGGGCATTCCTTTCTCATAATGAGGACGAAAATCGAACGAGTCGATTATTGGAAGCCCACTTTCACGGCGGCTCAGGTTGATCTCGTGGACCAGATCCAAGATGCAAATGACGTCGCCAAAGTGAATAAGGGGGCAGTCGTAAATACCAATCATGGTGACCTCGGGTAATCCACGCAAGATAATTGCAAGTACCCGTCGATCAAGAAGAGGTGTCTTCTCAAAATGAAGAACTTTGACACCTTGGCGGTGCTGATATAACTTTCGAACTGTGTATCAGTTAGCATATTAATCGCAGCGCAGATTGCTTCAGCAAGATAGTGACTCACTCATTGTTTTGAGGCAGTTTCCGAGCATTCTATGCTGCGGCTCAAACATTGCTCTCGGATCAGTCCAAACAAATTGCCTATGGCGCCAGATGTCTTTTGTAGTTGACAGCTCACTGATTACCGTTACAGTGCTAGGGCTCATACTGGCAATCAGAGCGTGATCGAGTTGATTCTTCTCAAGGAGGTCATGGACTTTGTTGATCGTGGTGAAGATTTCTAGTTCTTCGTCGATGACTTTGTTAAACCAACCGCGTACAGGATTTGTCGGGTTCAAACTCAAGGGATCAAGGTCTCGAGCTCTGAGGAAGTCTCCAACAGTGTACTCTGGTGTGACTACTAAGAACACACCATTGTGGCCCTGAGAGTGGAAGTCTCGGGAGAGAAAGTTCCAGATATTCTTGGATAGAAAAGTTAGCCTTTGAATCCCAGTCAGAAAGGAAGATATTACTTACCGAAGCACTGACGATGGCATCCCATGCTTTCAAGGATGCTAGTGCGAGGCTCTGAACTGTCTTGAGCCCCGAGGCAAAGATTTGCTCGCCAAGTGTAGAACCGATACCGCCCGTGTAAAGCAAGCCCAACAGACCGGTCTGGTCTCCCCCCTTTACGGCAGTCTTGATGTAGCGCCGGCCCATGGATGTACTGGGATTAAAGACGAGTGTTGCCTAGTAACCAAGTTAGTTTTGACACCACATAGAAACCGAGTTTGAAAGGAGGGAATGAATGATTACCAGGGTTGACTCCCGAGACCGAAGTCCAAGTGCGCCTTGAATGCCATCAGCGACATCATAAAGGTCTGCTCGTGATGGCTTAGATGAACGGGCCTTCGCCATCTTCTCCCAAGCCTTATAATAGTCAGACGTGCTGAGCAAAGTGACTTCAGGGCGGAAGCCAAACTTCTCCAGCCGCTGAGTAGACTGTACAATGCCATAGATCTCGATTTCTGACTGTGTTAGCATCGATCCCATGCTCAGTGTGGGTTTCGTATGTGTGGACTTACCGTCCTTCTGAGGTTTTCTCGCCGCAATAGTACCGGGTCCATAGGAATTCTCATTTCTCTGTGGCCCATTGCCTCTCCGGCCCCATTGGTTCCGACCTCTTCTAGACATGTTTGAGGCACGAGAAGGCTGAAGATCCGCTTGATCCGCTTGGTGTGACGATGATGGTTGATCGCTGGGTGCTGGCGGCGGCGCGGGAGTCTTTTGCTTCCAAGCCTGATTCCGACCTTGACGAGGCGGGTTTGTCCTGTTCCCTTGGGTAGGGTTTTGGTGATTCGTCTGGGGACGATTTTGCTGGTTTCCTTGATGCGGATCTTGGGGATTCCGTCGGGGTGGGTTCGGCTGGGATCTGGGAGGGTGATTCCCTTGGTTACTGGGTGGTACAATGTCAGGGTTGGCCCCAGATGCCTTTTTCTGGGGTTTCTTTTTACGATTCTTTCGAGGAGGTTGACCAGATTCGGTGGTGACGTTCTCAGATCGCTGTTGCAGCGGATTTTCTTCTTGAGCTTGGGCTCCAGGTGCGGCAGCAGGCTGGTTATCTGGCTGGCCGTTGGCCTTGGCCTTCTGACTCCTGTTTGCCCACTTCTTAGCCATCGTGAATCTTGATAGAGGTTTTCGATTTATTTATTTTTAGGTGGAAAGTTTCGCGATTGCGGTGTGGTGGGATTTCGAACGAGTGTTGTGGATGAAATGTGTAGATAGGTGGTTGAGTGAAATATGCAGGTGTGTGATGGAATAAATACTGGGAGATGGGTGGATGGGAAAGGAAGTTTCTATTGAATGCGAGGTATCTGCACCTGGCAGCATTGTTCAGGGCGTTCAATAGGCAAGTGAGCAAGTGAGAGGTGATTGCACCTACCGCCGCTGAAATCTGGGTGGTCCAGCTTTGGTAAACGGCAGCTCCCACTTGAAACTGAGATAAAGGTGAACCCGTAACAGACTGATTCACCTCAGTACAGCACTTACCTATTGTTCTCTGAAGACCGGGTGTTGAATAACGACTCTGCGCACCACAATACGACTTTTCCCTATTGTTGCTCGAGTTTCTGATGTGGCTGGAGTGGCTTGCGTTTCTTCCTCGGTCACCCCTATCACACTTGAGGAGAGGAAAGGGAAATGGTTGGTGAGAGGCTAGTCCGTCACACAGGCAGCTTTATATAACCTCGAATTGAACAATAAACACACGATATCGCTGATTATTGATGGTTGCAGCGCACCTTCCTCCTCCCAAGCTCGTGGAATCTCGCCCGAGATGGGCTTGCTATTGGTGTTGGACAACATTCTTGCAGAGCCTATCGTGTCGTCCGCTTGACTACATGTCCAGGGTTTTCTAACACTCTAGATGCATTAAAGGAAACTTCTTGAAGAAGTTTCAGTAGCTGAATGCCACGAGTTGGTGAAGAGTGCCCGAGTGGCCTACTAAAGGTCGCTACCCTACACATAGGATTGAGTACATGCACAGCGGCCAAATGTTCAACTTTCAAGACAAACGTATAAATATATTAAAGTCTTGGTCAACTTAAGCTTATCTCATTATTCCCAAGTCCAAGACTCGGCCGCTAGAAAACTCACTCGTCAAGTCACCGTTTGACCTTGGGAGAGTAGGTCATCCAGCCGACTACGAAGATTACTCAACTTTCACTAACCGATGTCAATGTCGTATCTTGTGTTCCGAGGTCACAATGCTGTTGTGACAGTTACCAGTGAATATTTTTGCTATGAAGTGTCCGAAGTACGTGTATGTAACTGCATGCATAGTCGACATCGGTCCTTGATTGGGCTAGTTCAATATCCTTTTTGAGCAATGGATGAGACGAGCCGGACTGGCCTGGCTGCCGCGCAATGCGACACGATCGGGATTCGACGACATGGGCAAGGATCGTGACGGGGAGCGAGCTTCTGCCCACTTGATGAGTAACCCGGACGGCAACGACTATCTTTCCGGAGTCTTGTCCCAAGACAGAAGTTGCGGTCAGGAAAGTCAAGAGAATTAGTCTGGGAGACGGCGAGGAGAGGGTGTGTCATGAGATCCTACAGG